TATATATATATAAAATAGAGGTGGTTGTTTTTTATGGAAAAACTGAGTATCCTACTTTGAAGAAATAAAGTTTAAGGGAGTATAATTTACTCTGTATTAGTACTAATACACGTATTTTAAAGGGCATGACAGGAAAACTGCTAAAATTGGTCGTTTATGGTCAAAGCTTGAAAGAGCCGCAGGGAAGGGATCACAGAGCCACGTGTGGCTCCAGAGCCGCAGGTTGCAGACCCCTGGAACAGACGTAGAAAAGGTCACCATTAAGATTTGGGGCTGCCACGTCAAAATCCAAGATGGCCACCACCTGGGCCAGCCCCATCATTTGAGCAAACTGCCTTGTAGTTTTCATTCTGCTTCAAAGTAAAGATTCCTGAAATTATTACGGTGGCTGAAGATTAATATCTGTGGTGCCCCCCCCCTCTGTCGTTACACCTGTTGGTAAATAGAATGACTCCCTCCACTCGCAGGATCTGTCCCTCTGCCCCACCTCAAAAAATAAAACCTTCTCCACAGAGTAACTCCTATAACTTGAATAAGTTGCACCAAAAACATTTAGGTTTAGTTCGTTGCATGTTCAGTTCCGGTCCAGAAAAACACTCGTCTCCAGAGCTACAAACATTCTCCGTTCAGATCCCTCAGGGGGACATCAGCGCACTGCTTGTTTTTTATTCCCTGAATTTTAGAAGTTCTTGTTCTTCCAGGTTTTACAAACTACATGCGCAGTCCGGCCGGGGACATTTTCAACCCAGAACACTACACCGTGAACCAGGACATGACCCAACCGCTGTGCAACTACTTCATCGCCTCCTCGCACAACACGTACCTGATGGGCGACCAGCTCATGTCCCAGTCCAGGGTGGACATGTACTCTTGGGTGCTGCAGGCCGGCTGCCGCTGTGTGGAAGGTGGGGGGTCCAACACTCAGGATCCGCGCCAATCATCCTGAATTATTCTCACGTTTGTTTCCCTTCTTGAATTTCTGCAGTGGACTGTTGGGACGGCCAGGATGGAGAACCCATCGTGCACCACGGTTACACCCTCACCTCAAAGATCCTCTTCAAAGACGTCATCGAGACCATCAACAAGTACGCCTTCATCAAGAACGAGTACGTTTGAACCCCCCCCTTGGCGCTGATCTCCTAACAGACCGAGACGGAACACGGTGTTTTCAATAATGGCTCCTAACAGACCGTGAAGTCTGCGTGGTTTAATCAGCGTTCAGTCTGAGGATGCAGATGCTTTCAGTAAATATCGCCGTGTCGCCTGTTGGGCTGAGAGCGTGGAGGAAAGACGAGGGAAATGAAGCTTTCATGGTGGATGATGTCTTTAAAAGCCTTTTTCATTCGAGCCACTCAGGTGTGGTTGCAGAAAGCTTCCCTGATTTGTTGATATCGTCTTTGGTGTTGAGATAAATATTTTCCTTCAGTTGTGGATTGAAAGGACGAGCACTTAACTGGAGACAGTTGATCACGTCTGGAGTCGGTCCTCTTTAGGACAATTGAAGGTTCGTCACATTGAAATTTTAATTTGAGGAGTTGGAAAGAAACTGAGCCTGTCTTACAGTCTGTTTTCTTTTTTTAATAATATACAATAAATCCATTTATTTAGCCATATCAGTGTTTTTGTCCCATGTCACGGAGCAAAGACGGGGAATCATCCGTCCGTGCATGTTGAGTCGGGTTACGACTTCCATTTTGGTGTGCGGCTGCATGTAGACGTAAGAAAGCTCACTAATTGGGTCAGGCTGAACATTTCTGGGTATTTCTTTCATTAACTTTGTAACAAGAAATGGAGTCCTGTAATTGTTAATAAATGCATTGATCGCGTACCTTCAAATGCGAGACGAGAGTAAATGCAGTTCAGAAAGTTGGTACAGCTTTTAGTTTAGGTACAAGTCGAGGGTTTCCAGGATAAAAAGTTGGAAACTTGTGTGTCCGATTACTAAACTATTCGGATATATTAAAACGTCAAATTGCATCTAAATAATTACTTTTACTATTCAGATATCTTTAGAGTTCTTAAGTTGTGGCGTTCCACAGAGATGAGAGCTCGGCCCCTTTATAACCATTCTTTGCAGATGAAACTTGACGCTACTTTTCCATAAAATTCATAAATCCCAGCAGCTCATTTCACACTTTTTTTTTTGTTTTTTTTACATTAAATCCCAGATGGCCCAGGATTGACCTAAATTTAACAAAAATCATAAAAGCTCAATCATTTACAAATTTTTTCCTTTTCCTTTTCATTTGTTCAGTTTTAAGAGAAGACACGCTGCTCTTACCTCCGGATTCTGCATCTTTTTTCTTTTAAAGTCTGCACGGCTTGAACTTTGCAGCACCCTGATAACTGTTCCCAGGTCAGTTTGTGACAGAGTCATTAAAGCAGGCTGTTCAACTGGCAGCCCGGGGGCCAAATCAGGCCCACTGGTGGGTTCAATTTTAAATAGAACTAGATTTTAAACTGTAGAACGAGCTTAATTTATGACGATAACTGCTGGAGCTCTTGGCTCTCAGTAACTTTGACCCCTGAGCAGTTTAGTTGAATAGCTCTGTGCTATTAGAAACTCATTTTGTGGACCTTTGTGCCAACCAAACTCAGAAACATCTTAACCCGACTTCAACACCAACCTTTAAACTTTGCTCTTTAGAGTCTTATTTTAATCAAACTCTTGTTTACAGCACTTTGTAATGTTAATTAAAAAGCCCCGTTTTAATTCTTTATTTTGTAACAGCACCCCATCTGCTGTTGCAACTTGTGATGCTATTTCTGGCCATAGTGAGATTTATAACTATAAACCATCCTGAAATAGTCGTCACATCTGTGCAGCACGCGAACAGAAACACTCGCACACCTTCCTGCATTTCAGTGAATCTGCTTCAGAGGGTGATAATCCCATTGATACGCCTGCAGAGGAGAAACTCTATTTTTAGATCCAGTTTCTTCAGCTGAAACCAAGCCTGAGCGCCGCCTTTGTGTGCATCTTCACCTCGCCGTGTGGTTCTGAAAAGATGATTGTGGACACCATACTCCACAGATAATTGGCTAAAATGGAGCAGCGTAATGGAGGCTGCGCTCGGCATCAAAGAGGAATCAGATTTTCCGAGGTGCTAAATAAAACTCGGTCTGCCGGAGACGTAATTAGAACAAAAACTCCTGAATTGTTGGATCCGTGCAGCCGGAGCGGAGCTCTCCGACACGGCCCAGACTCCGGAGGTGCTTCGCCTTTGAAACGCAGCGTAGCCAGATGTGATTATTTGTACAAATTAAATCCTCCTTACCTAAACAAACGCCACACGTGCACTTCTGACTGAGCTCCTCGCAGGCGTGCGGTCTCTTTGCATCTAAACGTGACAAAAATATGACACTTTGCACGTTGGAGTGAAGTGATGGGATCATTTTTGCGGCGTGTTGGGCGTTGCATGAGCCTCGGTGTAGTTCAGTTTTCTGACAAACAGGAAGAGGGAGAGACCCAGAACCAGCAGCAGTTGACCGTCTGATTCTGGCCGCTCCCCTCGCCCGAAGCTCCGAGGACTAACCTGCAACCAAAAACTGAACACAGCCGGTAACTCCCAGCCCCAACAACAATCAGCTCAACGTCAGTGACCAGTGCAACCACTGGTGTCTCCACCAGGAGCAACACCAACAACCATCAGACCAGGTCACTCCCTCGCTTGTCCAGAAGGCGGAGCTTAACCCTTTTTAAAGTTGTTTCCAGCCAATCAGCTTTCAAGAGAGCACATGAATTAGTTGGGCACCATTCACATTAATGACCCGTCACTGTGAACGGACCGGAGCGTAGTGTTCAGTCGAAGTTCACCGCCGTCCTCAGCTCTGCCGTCAGCCCCTCGTATGTCTCTGACCGCGACCTTTTGTGCCCTTTCTCCTCAGCTACCCTGTGATCCTGTCCGTGGAGAACCACTGCAGCGTTCCTCAGCAGAAGAAGATGGCCCAGTACCTGGTGGAGATCCTGGGCGACAAACTGGACGTGTCCAACGTCCGAGCGGACGAGTCGGGACAACTGCCGTCTCCAGAGTCGCTCCGGGGAAAGATCCTGGTGAAGGTGAGGTCACACCGAGACCTGGTCCACGGTCTGGATGAACCCCGTGTCAGAGCCAGACCCCGTCTCGGACTCTGCAGTTGGACCCTCGGCAGACGTCAGGAAGCCATGAAACGTGTTGAAAAGATAATTATTTAAAAACTTCTTTAAGGTTTGCCTGTCACTCGCTGAGTTTGAATCTGAGACGCCGCCGGCTGATCATGAATCTGTTTGTGCTCAGAGCTCGTGTTGAGGATGACTCTCAGCTACCACCACCTCAGTCTGGTTCAGGACCAGTCGGTTTGACCGAGCTGGAGCCACGTTCGTCTCTGCTGAGGTTGACCGTCTGTGGCAGCCATCTTGAACTAGGCTAACTGTTGTGCATGAGAGATTGTGATATTTTGCTAACAGACTTTAAACTGGTTTTAAAACCAAATTTTGTGTTTTCAGTTTATCTCTTAAAGGGAAAAGTTTAAGCCACTGCCACACCAAAGTTTAGCTCGGTATCTGAAAATGTGGCTAAAGTTGAAGTCATTTTTGTCTTTGCTAAGGTTAGCTTAGCTGTGGCGGCCATCTTGAGTTGGGTTGGCTCCAAATGTGTAATTGGATGTAGTTTGTCCTGTGATTACGTTGAGTTTAATTAGAATCTGTCATATTCTGGCTGACGTGTAGCGTTGGGTAAAAACGTGATCACCCTTTCAGCTCTAATGTGACCAAATGAAGATGATCACAGATCGATGACTTTTGGAAAGAACCGATGTTTCCAGACCAAAGAGCGTCTCTGAAGTTAGGCTGTACACTTAGGACAAAAGCCCTCCATTATTTTGTCTGGTAGTTATTACTATGTTTTTTTTATCCTTTAATTAACGAGTCAAATCCTGGGTTTGAACTCACGTCCATCTTGCTGTGAGGCATCAATGCTAACCGCTTAACCTCCGTGCTGCTCGATATGACTGTTTGGATCCTCGTGGAGCAAGAAGATGGTCACTTTGTGCTCTGACCCAGAAAATATTGTGGTGATGAGGAGAGCCTTTATCTTCCAGCTGGTGGGACCTGTGTTAAAAGATCTGAATCCTCTCACTGAATCAGGACCCACAAACCTGAGGTCTGAGTGGACCCGGGTCCTCCATGTCCTCTGGCAGACTACAGACAAGCAGCTTTATAGCGTAGATGAGATGACTTCTTTTAATTTGGCGAACTCGCTTAAACCCAGCAGAATCACCAGAACCGCTGCAGACTCTGTGACTCATTCAGCGTGAACGACTCGAGTGAACGGAGTCACTTCAGTGATTCAGTTCAACCCAGATCCGTGAAGCGAAACGATTCAGCAGGTCTGCTTCAACTGGTCTGCCTGTTGCTAAATGAGAACCGGTTCAACCTGCCTGGGTAAATAAAGATTATTATTATTAATATTGATGGTAACGATAATAAAATTATCATTATTATATAATGAATTTATTTAATATTTAATAATAATAATGATAATAATAATAATAAAATAGTAATGTTAGTATTAATAAAAATATTCTTAATATTGATAGGTTAAAATGATTTATTAATATTGGTAGTAATAATATATTAAAATTATTAATATTGATAAGATGGAACTCTAGTGACAATAGTTACTATGATTGTTGTTGTTGTTAATAATAGTAATAATATTGGTAATAGTAAAAAATATTGATAGTTTTAATATTTATTAATATTGATTGTAATATTTTTAATTGATCAAAAGTAACTAATACAATTATTATAAATATTGTTAGCAATAATAATAATTTTATTATTAATAATCATACTAATAATAAAATTATTAATGATGATAGTAATAATAATACAATTATTATTAACAATATCATTAGGAACAATAATGCAGTTGTTCACTCTGCAGAGAAGACTGGTCCAAATCCATTTAGTAAATTTTTCCTTGTATCTATTTTTTTTATGACCGTCAGAATGTTGATTTGTTTTTTAATCTTAGTCTGGTCTTTTTTCATCTGTGGTTCTAAATCTGATCCAGATCTGATCCCGGTCTGAACGGTCGGGTCTCGTTTCATCAGCGAGGATCGATCCGAGTATTGACGACATCGTCGTCGTGCAGTTTACGGTCCAGAACTCTTCACGTCGTCGGCTACAGACCCCGAGTCCAGACGCTTGGCCTGTTTTTAATTTGTCACGTCCTTCTGAGCATCACAGCAGCACGAGACCACCGTTGGTGTCGGACCAGACCGGAGCGACACTGGGGCATGTTTCACGTTCAGTTTGTCGCTCCGGTTCCAGAAGTGTAATTCTGCTCCGTAAAGGCTCGGAGGAGTAGATATCAAACGTAAACACTGGACCAATAAATCAGGTCCGATAATAATTCAGCTGGTTCTGAATGCACAACCGCTTCAGAACCAATCCATGTTCGTGCTGCGGGTCGCTTCAGAACCGTGGACTGTCTGCCCCCCGGGGGGGTCACATTTAGATCAGAATCTGAAGGACCTCACAGGAACATCAGAGCAGAGCTTTTGGACCTGCAGAGGTTCTGTTTAATGTGTTGTCTTCCTCCGACAGGGGAAGAAACTTCCTTCGAACATCGACGAGGACGCCGAGGAGGGGGACGTGTCCGACGAGGACAGCGCCGATGAAATGGAGGACGACTGCAAGCTGATGAACGGAGACGTACGTCCGCCGCTTCCTTCGCTCGTTTTTAAACAAAATGTTTTGTCACGTTTTGAACCGAGCCGCGCTGCAGACGTTTCCTCCTCGTTGTTGTGGCGATTTGTTCTCATCTCTTCTCTTTGTCCTCTTCAACGCGCTCGCTTCTCTCAAAGTGGAAGGTAGTGTATTAAAAACCAAACCTCATTTTCAGTCCTGTCTGAAAGCTCATCTCAGCCATGCTCCATCGTTTCTCATCACCTCCGTTTAAAAAACGCTCCATCAAATGTCTGGAAGAAAAACATCTTTGGAACGAGAAACTTAAGATACGAGTCCAACAGTTGAATAAAGTTTAACACCAATTCCATGTCACTATTTATTAACTTGAAGAACCGAAGCTCCTCATGGAACCTCCTGCTGCCCTACGGTCAGAATAACCCACAGGGCCTCGGCTTTAAAAGTGTCGTAACTTGAATCTGCAGGGACGAGAGTAACGAGACTCTTACTGACAAATCACTGATCCGAAAGGACTCTGATCGATTAAAGGCCCAAAACAAATGAGAAACGATTGATCTGCCTCCAAGTAGGAAGGTGGAGGAACTCCACTCCACTGGTTGGTTCACGCTGCCATCTTGTGACTGAACTGAGCGCGTGCAGAACGATCGGACTGAAGCAGAGAGCAGGAATCTCTTTATGTTCATTAACGTTTAAACAACTGCAGCTACAAAACATCGTGTATGTGTTGAAACTTAAAAAAATGCTGTTAGACTTTGAAAAAAATACTCTTAAAGCTTAATGTGTTTAAGAAGAAACAAACGATTCTCGTTCTAAAACTTCACAGCTGCAGGATAAATTTTAAACGACACAAAGACTGGTTCATATTTTCTAAATTATTTGTATAAGTTTATTCAGAACCGGTGGAGCAGAGGTCAACAAACGGTTTACAAAACTTATAAAAACTATAAAAACTGCTGAAGGAATCTTTACTTTGTTCCCCTCCAGTAATAAAAATGTAATTTACATCAGTCTGAGGATTTGCACCATCGTCCGCCTCATCGCTCGTCTGAAACTCATTTCTCTGTTTGTGACATCGTGTTGTTCGTTTTGTGCACATTTGAATGTTTTTTTGTTCACATTGATCTTTTCCATGAAATCCAGAGAAATAAAGTTTTAGTGACAAGTTATCATAAAAATGTTTAATTTTCTGCAGTGCACCAAACTACACGTCATATCAACAAAGTCCATGCTCAATAATCCAGGTACTGAAAAATGTTGGATTGTGTACCTGGATTATTGAACATGGACTTTGTTGTTTTAGTAGCAGGTTTTTAAAAACCCGTGACAGTAACATTCTTTAGTTTAATCAGGCAGAATATGTTCTAAGTGTTTTTCCTCATCGTCTGCAGACGTCCGCCAACAGGAAGCAGGTGGAGAACCTGGCCAAGAAGAAACTGGACAGCCTGATGAAAGAGTCCAAGATCAGGCACCGGGAAGACCCGGACAGCTTCACCATCGCTGCCCTCCCTCCCTCTGGGAAGTCCTCCGACAAGACGGACGGCAAGGTAAACCAAGAGCGACGTCCCAAAACGGCTTTAATGTTTTTAACTGCAGTTTGGGGGGGGGGGGGGGGGTGACGTTTGTAGAGCGAGTCGAGAAAAAACACAAACTTTGGATGTGGTCTGAGAAGTCTGAGTCCATTTTTAAAGTTTAAACCTCAAATCTGCTCTCAAACACATTTTATTTGCTGTTAAAATATAGACATGGATGGAGAAAGATATATATATATATATATAGAGAGAGAGATGGATGGATGGATGGATGGATGGATGGATAGTAGGGCAATTACATTAATATAATAAAATTAATACTGTACCAATTTAATAAAAGTATCGTAAAACATTTGATACTCACTAGTCAAGAATAATGATTGAAGATTAAAGTAAATAAATAAAAAAGATGCAGAAAATGTTTGTTGAAGGTTCTAACCACAGATTTAATTAAGTCACACATGAGTTAAATCCCGACGTGCTAATTTAGTTTCCGATCGGTTTCAGTTAATCTCAATAAACCTCCCAAATATAATCTCTGCTCTTTAAATTATTTTAAATGAGCTGTTTTCTTGTAGTTGGATTTTAATGATATAATCCCCCCCAACAGTCGTAAAACCAGCCAGTCCAGTAAATTCTGTAAAGTTTATCGGTTTGTTTCTCCTCAGGGTAAAAGCGATGAAGGGACGGACAGCGCCGGCGAGTCCAACCTCGGCAGCGCCAAACGTACGAGCCGCTCCTTCATCGGGAATTTTTCCAAGCGCAAGGTTGGTCTTTTTATTAAATTTTTACCTGCGTACATTCTTTTCTGCTGCTAATCCTGCACATGAGAAGAATAAAGCGTCTGTGGTTTATTGGACCGTCGGTGATTGTGACTCAACTCTACAGCTTATGGTAGAAATGGACGTTCAGTTCACGGGCAACAGGCAACCACGTGTAAACTGTTTGATGGACATTCCTGCAGTCGGCGTGCCCAACCTCAAAACTCGAGACGTCTGTCACCGTGCTGTAAAAAAGCTGCACATTTCAGAGTGGCCTTTTGTTGTGGTCAGCCTAAAGCTGACTGTGATGTAATCATTCTGTATTGTCAGCACCTCGACGTGCCACACCTGTGAGGTGGTGTAAAATCCTCACTTCTGCCCCCGATTGTTGCACAGAACCAGCTGGTTCTTTCCTCGTGTTCCGCCACGTTCCTCGCTTCGTTTTTAACTTTGTTCTTTGTTGTTTTTTAATGTTTGAACAGAAAAAGTCCTCCAAGCTGAAAAAGACGTCGAGCCTCGAAGACACTGACACGGACCAGGAGAGCACGAGCAGCGCCTCCCGCGCTCCGCTGCACCACAGCAAGTACGTCACACACACACACACACCTGGATGCAGGTGATGGAGAAAAAGCAAACAGGAAGAGGTTTTAACCCGGAGTTTCAAATTAAATCTTTCAAATACTTTAACCCAGTGGTTCCCAACACTGGTCCTTGAGGAACACCATCCTGCATGTTTTAGTTGTTTCTCTGCTCCATCATGCCTGATTCAGTGATTTAATTACATCATCATGTCCTACGGAAGCCTGTTGATTCAAATCAGGTGTGTTAAAGCAAAGAAACAACTAAAACACGCAGGATGGTGTTCCTCAAGGACCAGTGTTGGGAACCACTGCTTTAAACTCTACTCCTGCTCTGTGGTGGATGGGATTATTCTGAGCGCAGGTCGTAGAGTCGATACGGAGATGTTGGAGTTTGAACACCCTTTAACTTTTTATTTTGGCTCCACAGGAAGAAGAAAACCATGAAGCTGTCCAGAGCTCTGTCCGATCTGGTGAAGTACACTCGCTCTGTGGGTCTCTACGACGTGGAAACACAAGGTGGGCGTCTGGGGCTTCTTATAGAACCTGATCCCAGCCGACACTTTCTGATTCCGTTTGTAGAAACGCCTCGAGGATCCAAAGTTGCCTCATTTGGAGAACTTTATGGAGCTCATTTAACTTCCTCACAGAGGAAGTAGTTCCCCACAGCGGCAGGAAGGGTCAAGCATTTGTTCCTGCAGTCTTTGCTTGTTTTAGAAAAGAGTGCAGAGTATTTATGAGAGGTCAGTATCTTACCTGCTGGAGTTGTGTTGGGGTGGTTGGTATGGTGGCACAGAGGTTAGAGAAGGTGAGCCTGTGATCGGAAGGTCGCCCGTTCAACTCCCCAGACCGACATCAAAATGTGGGTGGGAAAGGTGAAGCACCCATACCTGCCTCCACCCTCATTTGCCCCACTCTGGACCCTTGAGCAAGGCCCTTAACCCCCACCATCTGCTCCCCTGGCTGCTCTAGATGGCAGCGCTGCTCCACTCAGAGGGCTGTGGTAGCTCCGTGGTCTGTGGTTGTGCCTGGAAGGAAATCTGGCATAAAAACGATCACTTGGTCTTCATGCGAGTTATTTCACCTGAGGAAGGAACCGGCCTAAAGAAAAAAGTATCTTACCTGCTGTAGACAGCAGTTGGAGTCGTCTTTATAGAAATTTTAATGAAGCTAACGGTAGAAACTGTAAAGAGTAATTTTCTGTCGTCTAAAACGGTTCTAAACTTTACTAATACTTTGATGGCAGGTTATATTAAATATATGTTGGTGTGAACGTTTGAGTCTTGTTTTTATTTTGATGGTTTTGTAAACTCAGATTATGAAACCGTTTAATTTGTTAAAGTGTGAGCGCTGTGTTAGAACAGCTGGAGGATCTCCTCCTCTTTGTGTTGGCGAGGCTGCATGGAATTTCTCTGGGAATCCTGAAAGCCTTTTCCAGATCCTCAAAACAAGCTGGAGAACCGACCTCCAGTGACCCCCCCAGCAACTCAACGAGGGTCCAGACCTGTTCCACAAGCAGCCACCCTGCTCCTCCATCGTAGCCTCCTCTTGACTGCTTGTGTCCACTCGCTGCCTCCACAGTTGTGACGGAACGTTCCTAGAAATGATCAGAACTCACGAGTTTGTGCCTCGTGATAACCAGAAGGTCTTTGTTGTTTCTGCGACAGCCAACTGCAGCTGGCAGGTGTCCTCTCTGAGCGAGACCAAAGCTCACCAGTTGATGCAGCAGAAACCAGCGTCCTTCATCCAGTTCAACCAGCGGCAGCTCTCCCGGATCTACCCCTGCTCTTACCGAGTGGACTCCTCCAATTTCAACCCCCAGCCCTTCTGGAACGCTGGCTGCCAGTTCGGTGCGCGCCGCCTCCGTCTCCAGTTTGGTTCCACGTGAAGTTTTGATTCAGATGTAGCTTTAGTTTAATAATCTGCTCATTCCTTCGTTTGGTTTCAGTTGCACTCAACTACCAGTCTGAGGGTCGAGTCCTTCAGCTCAACAGAGCTAAATTCTACAGTAACGGCAACTGTGGCTACATCCTGAAACCTGCGTGCACGTGTGAAGGTCTGTTCAGGACGAGGAGACGTGTCGTTTGTCGTCACATATATTTGACATTTGATCAAGATTCAACTCTGAAAACGATCATGTTAGGTTTTACAACAAGCCCATTCTGCTCACCTCAGGTGCCTTCAATCCAAACCTGGAGGACCCGCTGCCTGGGCAGATGAAGAAACAGCTGGTGTTGAAGATCATCAGTGGACAGCAGCTGCCCAAACCCAAAGACTCTATGCTGGGGGACAGAGGAGAGGTAGGACACTGCCGTCCCAAATGGCTGAAAATTCTAGAAATTCATTGTATTTTTATTAAATAACTTCAACATCTCTGTGGGACAATAAAGGCTCTTTCTATTCAAGAATGCAAGAATTCTGCAATGTCAAAGGTCTCATCGTCTGGCTGGAAGTAGTTTTTGCAGCTGATTTTAGATGGTTGGGTGTGATAAACGTTTGCCTGGATACAGAGGATGCAAGTGTGGATACGGTAAACCGACAACACGGATATGTAGAAACGGTAAATGGTAGATTTGATGCATGTGTATACAGTAGGTAGATAGATGTGTACGCATCTTGGATGAGTACAGCGAACAGGTGTGTAAATATAAATGGATAGGGTGGGTAGATATAGATGCATATGGTGTACACTGGATGAATACAGTGAATAGATGTGTAGCTCCTGTAGAATAAGACGGTGAATAGATGTGTACACATCTTGGATGAGTACAGTGAACAGGTGCGTAGATATGGTGGACTATCCTCATACATGAAATGCCGGTTCCATCGTGGAGTCCAGTTTTCTGTGACTCTTAACGTTTGTATTTTTCTCTGAAGTAAAGTATGTCTGGGTTGTACCGCTCGTTTTAACCGAATCCTGTTGTCGTCTCAGACGTAAATTGTGTGAACGTTGAACGACCGACTGCTTCCAAAAGTTTGAGCGCACTATTCTTTATCAAACTTTACAATTTAATGTTTTATTTATTAGATTTTCTAAAGCTACACAACATAGCGAGAAGAAACTTGTCAAAAACCAAACAAAAATAAGAATAATTGTAAAATTCTGCATTAGCACTTTTTTTTAATTCGCCTCGTCTCTGTAAACTTTCTCTTGTCCTGCCCACAACTTTTGATCCGCTCAAGATAATTAAAGATAGTTCAAACTAATTTGTATCACCACTTCACGGCATGTCACAAAATCTTTTCATCACCCCTGCTCCAAGGTCAAGGCCACAAATCAAGGTCATATTTACAACAGGATCGTTTCTCGTGCGAGCCGCTGCTATAGATTGCCGTTTTATTTACGGGCTCTTTGTTGAAGTTTAACGTAACGTGACCGTTTCAGATCATCGACCCGTTTGTGGAGGTGGAGATCATCGGCCTCCCGGTGGACTGCTGCAAGGAGCAGACCAGAGTGGTGGACGACAACGGTGAGTTCGTCAGGAGACGACGATGTTCAGGTTCTTCCTGAAGTTGCTGGAGCAGATCTGTGTGTGCTGTTTCTGCTGAATGTGACCCTCACCTTCCTGTGTGAGATCTGATGAGCTCAGCTGGAGGAATTGTGCAGCGGCAGCAGCTTCCAGGCTGCCGTCTCTCACACTCGCGTCGTGAATTATTGATGATCGCTGAGCTCTCTCCTTCCTCTCTGCTGTTCTCCATGAACCCTCGCCGCCGCCTGCTCTGCAACCTCGCCCGGCTTCCAGGGTTCAACCCGATGTGGGAGGAGACTCTGGTGTTCACGGTTCACATGCCGGAGCTCGCCCTCGTGCGTTTCCTCGTGTGGGATCACGACCCGATCGGCCAGGACTTCATCGGGCAGCGCACCATCGCCTTCAACAGCATGATGCCAGGTGGGACGAAGGAGCCGCTCTCGCCTCCAAATCCTCACGTTTCAGCATTTCACTTTAAAAATCGTGTTTAAAATTTAAAGACAGAAGTTCTGAATTTTCTTAATATAACTTCTGCAGTTTATGTTGTCGTGCAGACGAGCCTTTGTTTTCTGGAAATAAGCAGCTCAGCATGTAAACAATAAGAATCTGTCCTTTAAATTTACAAGAACTGGATTCTGCTCAAAACGTTTCATCGATGGAGGTTTGAGACAAAAACTGAGAGGATTTTAAATGTTTGTTTTAGGGCATGAAGTCACGACTGCTGCAGGTTCTGTGTGAGTTTGTCTCTCAGTAGTTTCCCTCCATGTGCAGGCTTTCGCCACGTGTACCTGGAAGGTATGGAGGAGGCGTCCATCTTTGTTCACGTGGCGGTGAATGACATCACTGGTAAGGTAGGTACTCCTCAGGAAGAGCCGTCAGATTCACTCTTTGTCTTTAAGGTACTGGAAATGTCTTCAACTTAAGATAAAGAGAGCGTGTCATCACTCAGGTTTATAGTGACAGATATTACTCTTGGCTCGTCGTTCAGTCGCAGCAGCAGCTAGTTGTAGCACTTCCGCTGCAGCTTGAGGTACTTTAAAGAAAATGTTTACAAATCTTCAAGACATTTTTGTTCAAAATGCACGATTGGACATTTTAAAGGTTTAAAAATGATCGTTTGCCTGGACCGCTTCAAAATTTCAAGTTATTTCAAAATGGTCATGAGACGTCATGACACGAGAGACATGACGGTCCTGAATCAAACTATGGGCCATTTGTGCACGAGAGACGTGCACATCCTAAAATGCACAACGTGTAAAAACAAATTGAGATTTGACTTAATACATATGATTTTACACATTTCGTTACATACCTGCCATCTTTTGAAGTTTGTGCAGCCAAACAGGAAGTGACATCAGAGGGAAACTTTAAAAAGGTGAACTTCCTGTTCTTTGTTTATTGAAACCGTCCGAGTCTGACTCCAAATAATCAACAGAAACATCAGATTCTTCTGTTAGCAGAGTAGCTACACACAGGTGTTGCCTTTTGACATCACTTCCTGTTGCTGATCTTGAAAATATCACAACTTTCTAATAATGCATTTTATATTTATCATGAAAATTTGATGTCATGCACGTAGAACTCAAACCAAACACGGCACACTGATGCTGTTTCATACGAATCTTTATCCTCCTTCAGGTAAGATACTGTTGAACCTCGGTTTGAAACTGCTCCTCCGTCTTAGTTGAACTTTTATTAAAAGGCACTCTTTGCCAACTGTGAAATCAAACGTATTAAAGAGTAGCTAAATCAAACGGTGATGTTTCACTGGTTTTAAACATCAGAGTGTTTTTGTTGTTGTTTTTTATCTGTGTGCCTTTTTATGATTGTCCATTGTTGTCATCATTCTTTGTTAAAATCAGGTCTCTTGTAAATGAGTCCTCAAGACTCAATGGGATTAACCTGTCTAAATAAAATTTATATTTTATTTACTGTGTATATAACCCCCCCCCCCCCCCCCCCCCCCCTCATCACCTTAAACTGAGTATCTTTGATCATTTCTGCTCCGACATCTTAGACATGAACTGTTTATATTAATGAGAATCTTCGACTGTTTTGATTTATTACTTTATTGGGTTTCTTCATACAGTTGTTTCAGTCTGTGTGAATTCATCCAGGACTTGATAAATCCTGAGTTTAATCAAAACAACTGAGTCCAGCTGTTCTTTTTTTTTTTTAAACAACTCAAGTCCAGCTGTTTTCTTTAAAACTCAGGAACCCTTTCAGTCACAACTTTGATTTTTTTTTTTTAGTCTCCTGCCTCCGCTCTCATCCTTAAACGGCTGCTTTGTTGTTCGTTTTGCTTTGAACTTCCTTTTCTCTGCTGTCTCTGTGAGCTCTGTCTGACCCCCCCCCCCTCCCCCACTGTTTCTGTTTTTGTCCCCCCTCTCTGAGTTTCTCTCTTCCTGTGTCTGTTTGTGATTTCAGTGGACCCGTGTTTTACCAAACGCTCCTTAGTGGCAGGAAAATTTTAGGAGTCTTGAAGCTGCTGCTCAGAACTCAGGTGTAGTCCTGCATGAGACACAAACCCCCCCCCCCACCCCACCCCCACCCAACCTGCCGCCCAGCTCGCACCCCGCAGACACGGCATTAAAACACCGTCAGGCCAACTCATGCCCCACATGAGTTATGAAGGCTTGACCTGCCTGTGCCCCCATTAACCAAGTAGATCCACTGGTCCCAACATTAACCTGCAGATGTGACCGACGGACCGACTCGAGGCCTCGACAGCACCAGTACTGATTGATTTTACCAGTTAGAACTGGTATCCTCATCCAGGTAAAAAGGCTGAAATTCCATCAAACGCTGAAATACCCGTGCCCGACCTGCAGGCGTCAACGTTAAAGACCATAAAATAACCGGAGTTTCTTCCGGGCATTTAAAACCATTAAGTTGTAAAATGTTACGAGCTGTTCGGTCCCTGTGCAGTCGGTGCGAGAGTTTGGTTCACATTGCTGTTAACAACTGGGACCCCTTCATGGTGGGAGTTGGACTCTGCCTGGGCTGCCCGTTGTCGCCCATTCTGCATCCATCTCTGCTCTTTGCAGATGATGTGGTCCTGTTGGCATCATCGTGCCGTGATCTCCAGCTCTCACTGGAGCGGTTCACAGCCGAGTGTGAAGCGGCTGGGATGAGAATCAGCACCTCCAGATCTGAGACCATGGTCCTCAGTCAGAAAAGGGTGGATTGTTCTCTTCAGGTCGAGGGTGAGGTTCTGCCTCAAGTGGAGGAGTTCAAGTATCTCTGGGTTTTGTTCACGAGTGAGGGAAGAATGGAGCGTGAGATTGAACGATTGGTGCAGCATCTGCAGTATTGTGGACTCTGTGTCGGTCCGTTGTGGTGAAGAGGGAGCTGAGCTGTAAGACAAAGCTCTCTGTTTACTGGTCGGTCTACGTTCCTCCCCTCACCTCTGGTCATGAACTCTGGTAGAGACTGAAAGAACGAGATCGTGGATACAGGAGGTTGAAATGAGTTTCCTCTGCAGAGCTGGACTCTCCCTTAGAGACAGGGTGAGAAGTTCAGTTATCAGGAGAGACTCAGAGTAGAACCACTGCTCCTCCACATCCAGAGGAGCCAGTTGAGGTGGTTCAACATCTGGTAAGGATGCTCCCTGGGCGCCTCCCTAGGGAGGCATCAAAACATTAATTCTGAATCATTGGTTTTCCAGAAAACTAAGATAAGTTGAGGGATTTTGAATTTGCTCCTCTGAACTCGCCCACCAGCGGAGTTTGTCTGTGAATTATTGCCTTAATGTGCATAAGATTAACACGTGGAACCATTTTACTAATCGTTTTTGGTCGTCTGTGCCCAGTTGGTGCGTTGGAGTATTTGAAACCGTCAGGAGCAGAAATCAAACAGATGAATGCAAATTTCAGCTGAAGTGGCTGGAAGATGAGTTTAAAGTGCAGCTGCAGTTCGTCCGTCGTCAGGATGACGAAGGATTTTGTTGTTTGTAATAAATAAATGTAAAAAAAAGATCTTTAGCTTGGGCTGAACGGACCATGGAGGCGTAAGGGGGTTGAAGCCAACTCTCCCTTGATGCTGCTCTGTACCGTGAAGCGAGGTAGTAACAGAGTCGAAACGGTCGACATGTGAAAAGGTGCGCTGGCGTTGGGCGCACTCGACCTGCTTTAGTGTATTTCTTTCTGTTCAGCTGCTTTGGTTCTGGGAAATCAACCAAATTAACACTTGAAGACAAATATTTCTAACGTCTCCGTCTAACTATTTTTTTTGTTTCAAGTGTTTGAAGTTTATCATGAATATCTGCAATTTTAAAAACTACATGGGATTATAGCCTAATGAGGTGATGATGTACGGCCACCAGGACACGAGATTAAACCAGTTTATTATCGAGGGAGGGTCGATGATGGCGCACAGCAACTTGGTATTCAGCGATTTAACGATTTAATTTTAGGCTAAACCTTCATGGACTTAACTTTTGTACTAAATTGATGGCCGAGCTTTTTAACTAAAACAACCACTGGAAACAAATTCAAACTAAATGTTTCAACCTGCATTTTAATCATTTCATGACTTTTTACTGTATCAATCGTGTCGTCTTGCATGCTGTCTTTAAATCATCCACCTCAGCGTTCAGACTTTTTGGATCTACTTCTCATTTTTTGTTTTTATTTTTATATAAAAGATGTTTTTGTCTAAATAAATAAAAATGCTTTTCCATTTGAGGTTCCAAGGATTTATTTTAATTATTGACCAGTAATTTTCAGCATGTTTAAGGGATGTCTTGTTTACTTTGATTTGTATTTCTAAAAATCTCAAACAGAAATGTTATTGTGCACTAAAATAAAACTTCTCACCCGTCATCCGTGCAAATATCCAGACTGATCTAGACCAACTGCAGGAGGCTGTAAAACCAAACAAACACTGTTGTAACATTAGTGTTCAGCTCATAAACGTCCACTCTGAACGATCCTAAACTTTGTTTTTGTCCGTCGCAAAGTTAAGAGAAAATTAGAAGTGCCCTCCACCGTCCGAGCATGCGAGCGCGATAACATAAAAAATAAGTGAGGTGCTGACTTCCATTTTGGTGTGTGGCTGCATTAAGACGTAAGAAAGGTTCCTTTGGAAGATTGGGTTGCCAGGTCAAAATCCAAGATGGCCACCACCATACACACAAACACAAACAGGGTGACGATGGAGGAGTTGTGGTATTGCATGAGGAAATCTGAAGTGGCAGAGAACTATGTTAAACTGGTACAGGACATGTATGAGGACAGTAGGACATGTATGAGGACAGCAGGACAGTGGTGAGATGTGCTGTAGGAGTGACAGATGGCTTCAAGGTGGAGGTGGGAGTGCATCAAGGATCAGCTCTGAGCCCCTTCATGTTTACTCTGGTGATGGACTGACTAACAGATGAGGTCAGGCAGGAATCCTCGTGGACTAAGATGTTTGCAGATGACATTGCGGTCTGTGGTGAGAACAGGTAACAGGTGGAAGAGAACTTGGAGAGGTGGAGGTATGCACTGAAAGAAGAGGAGTGAAAGTCAGCCGTAGTAAGACAGAGTCCATGTGTGTGAATGAGAGGGAGGAGGTGGAACAGTGAGGCTACAAGGAGCAGAGGTCACAAAGGTGCAGGACTTCAAGGACTTGGGGTCCACTGTCCAGGAACATGGGGAGTGTGGTAAAGAGGTGAAGAAGAGAGTCCAGGCAGGATGGAGTGATGGAGAAAAGTTTCAGGAGTGATTTGTGACAAAAGAGTGTCAGCAAAGGTCAAAGGAAAAGTTTACAAGACAGTGATGAGACCAGCTATGTTGTATGGTCTGCAGACAGAGACATGGACAAAAAGACAGGAGACAGAACTGGAAGTGGCAGAAATGAAGATGTTGAGGTTCTCCTTAGGAGAGACAAGGATGGAGAAGATCGGGAATGAGATCATCAGCGGTACAGCACAGGTTGGACAACTGGGAGATAAAGTTAGAGGACCCACTGAGATGGTTTGGACATGTCCAGAGGAGGGACAGAGGTTTGGACATGTCCAGAGAAGGTACAGTGGGTATATTGGTAGAAGGATGTTAGAAATGCAGCTGCCAGGAAAAGGACAAAGAGGAGATATGCAGTTAGAGAGGACATGGAGGTAGTGAGGACAGAAAGAGATTAAGGAGGGCTCGCTGTGGAGACCCCTGAAGAAGGAACAGCTGAAGGAAGAAGAAGAAGTAGTAGTAGCAGCAGCAATATGGACCACCCCTATCATGGGGTGGCATCGACGTACAGTTTGTTTTTCACTGTTTCTCATTTAGATTTATTCTGTTTAATAAATAAAATGTTGGAATTTGTCGTGCGTTTCCATTCACTTGAAGTCAGATTAGTTCTAGGACCTGGTGAAGATGTCCTCAAAAGTTAAACCTTAACATTAGGAGGGTGACTGTAGAACATCAGAATGCTGAGTCGGCTCAAACAGACTAGGATTAAAACCCTCGTGTTCAGCAAAAAGACACAAAGTCTTTTGAATACTGTGTAAATGTGAGAGGACGCTTCAAGCATGTTTTATTCCCCACCAATATTCTCCTGCTGCTGCGCACACACTGGTCATCTGCCCAACACTTTGAATCCTGGAGGAGTTCAAAGCTGCCCGGCATGTTTTGCTGCTGAATGATCCCTCAGTGTGATCATTCCCAGTGGATTTTAATTAACGCATGCTCACTGGGCAGAGGCTGCTTGCGTTGTTGTGACACCGTGGACCTACTTGCAGTGACTTTATTAGTGGAAGACTTTGTTTGTTTTGTTTCTGTTTCAGGCCAAAGCAGCCGGCGGCATAAAAGGACTGTTTCACAGACACCCAAAGCAGTCTTCCCTGGACAGCCATGCTGCTGTGCACCACAGCCGTAAGCACCCGTTTGGCGCCCACCTCCTACGCCGTACCGCCAGCGCGCCCACCAGAGGTCAGCCCAAACCCAAGAAGGGCTTTCCAGAGATCGCCATCGACACCAAAGACTACAGCTCGGAGGGCGCCAGCGAGGAACGGGAGTCCGAGGACCGGGACAAGGCCTCAGCTGCTGCCGCTTACCAGTTCACGCCCCCACAACATCGTAACGGCGATTCGCTGGCCTCCCACCAAGCCAAGGGCCCCTGGGACTGTCCTGACACTAACGGAGCGTTTCACCCAGAGGAGGGTAAAGGTAAGGGCTCGTCTTTTGATCAGCGGCGACCCATGAGTGAGCCTCTAAAACGGGCCAGTCGTCTCTGTTTTCACGACCCGCTGGACATGAAGCCAGGGGTGTTCGCCCGAGTGGCGCTCAGTAGCACAGGGAGGGTGGGGATGTCGTCCAACTGCATCAACTGCGTGATTGGCTCCAAGGAAAGTCCAGAGTCCGAGAGAAAGAGCCGGGTTGTGGAAACGCAAGAAACCGAGTACAGGCAGACAGGCATGGAAGTCCAAAAGAGAAGTGAGCCTTCCTCAGCCAAGAAACGAGCCCAACCGGAACCAGCTACCGAGCCTCAGCACCAAGACACCCAGCCAGACTTGCATCTGGCCCAGCCTAAACCCAAATCCTGCATGGAAGCCCGGTTTCAGTACTCGCCCCAGGCTGTCCTTAGACCCATGCCTTTCCCCAGATCTAAAGCCAGACAGACTCTGGGTCCCCAACACTTAAGACCACATCCAGAAACCTCCCACAGGAGCGTTCGGTCCTGCAGCGTCCCCCGCAGACGCTCCCCCAACGCCATTACACCGGCGCCGTGCGTCACCCCGGACTGCAGGACCAGCCTCTGTTGGCAGCAGGTCACACCCCCCAACTACGGGGCCGTTTGCGGCTCGTTGCTGTCGCCGCTACCAAACTCGAAGTTGAACGAAGCTCTCCTGCTCAGCGACAGCAGCAGCTGCGACAGCTTCGGCAGTCTGAACAGCTTGGAGTCGCCTCCGATGCTGCCGCCCCGCTCCGTCCTCGACAGCCGCAAGAGGGCGGTGGGTACTCTGCAGCGAGAGATGAACGCCCTGTTCGTCCAGAAAATGGAAGAGCTGCACCATAAGTCTCCCATGTTTTTTGCTGGTAAGACGAGGCAGACGTAGAGGTAGACGTTGGGACGTAGCTTTAGTGGTTTGTTTTAGAGATCTGGAGTTAGCCTCCATGTTTGTTTCCCCCCTGTTCTGTTGTAGGCCCCCAATTCAGTCACCACTTCATCTCCCGCCTCACTGATAGTAGTACAGCACTGAACCCGTCATGTTTGCTCTTCCTAAACTGTTCCTTCTACGACCCAGATGCTAGTTCTTATACACATCTATATGTAGTTTTAAAAACCATCAGAATGTTCAGCTTGAACACAGAAACCGTAACAATTAGTTCATTTCACTTTCCAGCATCAAAGTTTAGGTTCAGTGTTCAAACCCGTAAGTTCACTTTCTCAAATGTTCAGTCGCCTTGAAAGACGAGCCGGCAGTGACCCGAGACGGGATCAGATTCAGTCAGAAACCAGCTGGTTCTTTTGGGCCATTGAGAATCTGTTAGAAAATTATTTGAAAGAATCAGTCGAGTCGAGGACTGAAGTTTGACCAAATGTTGCAAACGAAATGCACCAGACGCCCTCAGGATTCAACGTGTCATCCTTACAGCAACGTGCGTTCACACCTGTAGGTTTACAAAGTTTATCATGGTGGATGCTCAACAATAAGAAAAAACATTTTTTTCTATCGGATTCAATTGTTTGTAAAACTTTAAAATCAGTCGCAGTTTTATGCATAGTTTGCATGCCCTGCGTCTTATACACCGACGTAACACATTTATGGATTTTTTTTCCATATTTATAAACCGTTTTGGCTGAGAGATGACCGTTTTCATTCGACTGAAAATATTGAACACTACCATTTTCAGCCACTAGATGGCACACGAGTAGTATGGCATGCCATTATCATGTATTAGGTAAAAGTGACTATTAATGACACAATCGGCTTGCCATAGTCTGCCACCATCGTCTGTCTGGAGCAACCGTCAAATCAGCTTCATTTCTCTGCGCCGCCCCGACGAAATGCAGCTGATTTGACCTTCGAAGTGCATTTATTAAGTAAAAGTTCAACTGAGACGCACCTCTACTATAATGTCGAGCAAACAAATTGTTTTAGGTGCTTGTTAAATTTGGAAGAAATGCACAGCAAGTTATCCTGTGCATGCGCCTACTTCCGCTTATTGGCTTTTGAAAATGCAGCTGATTTGATCGTCAAAAGTGCAATTATTAAGCAAATGTTAGACTGAGACACACCTTTACTATAATTTCAAACAAACAATTGTTTGTTTTTAAGTGTTATTCTTGTTAAAGTTCTCCGGTGCACGCTCCCGCGGCCACCATTTGGCAGCCAATTGATTTTTTTGGCACATCACCAGCCCACGCTTCCAGGTTGTCAGCGGTGACGCAGAATAGAAGCAACATATTTGTGTTTTTCCACTTTATTAGACATATATGAACAGATGCGACTTATGGTATGGTATGGTATGGTATGGTGTGGTATGGTATGGGGCGGTGCGACGTCTACGGTGGAAAATGCGGTGTACGCCAGTCGAAGGCAGATGTTTTATGGTGTAGTCTCTCTACAAACAAACTGATCTGCTCAAGATAATCGATTGAAACTTTATCCCTAGACAGAGTAATAATGTGCACTTTTAATCACCCCAGCTCCAAAGTCAAGGTCACAAGTCAAGGTCAAAGTTGAAACGCAGACTTTCTCGTTCATAACTTCCAATCTGCACAAGATAGTTTAACTGAATTTCATACGATCTTGTACCACCACCAAATGGTGTCGCTCTAAGGTCAACGTCGCAAATCAAGGTCAAAGGTTATACAAGGTCTTTGCTTGTCCGGGACGTTGATGATCTAGATTGCTGAATAAGTTTGTCGTCGGCGTACAATGTGCCTTACTCTTGTTGGTTGTTTGTCCGCGAGGCGTTCGCGGCTTGATAAACAGTTTATGAACGAGTGGAGGCGTCTTGAAGAGGAGCTCGTCTCCGTGAAAGACTCCGAGTGGACCTCTCTGAGCTGCGAGTGTTTCAGACGAGTTGGAGAATCAAAATTGAGACAGATGAAGATCTTGTTGAAGTCTGTGTTTGAGCCGTGCGGATGCTTTTTGTGCAGCTCGTCTAAAAACCGCGGCCTCCATTAAACCCGCCCGACCCGATTTGTTCCCACATTTATGATTTAATCTACAGAGTACACGTTGGACCAGAAGACGGGCAGACTGAGACCAGTCTGGTCTTACCAGGCATCATTTTCGGTTAATTCCTTCAACACTTACAACTGCTGAGCCTCCGTCAGCCTGAGTTTCTTGTGATGGCCCATCAGAACCATCGTCCTTTGGGGGGAATCAAACTGTTCAGAGAACTCGAGTATTCGTTTCTGGATGCCTTGGAATAAAATCTGTTTGCTGGGTCAGGAGGTTCTGGTGGACTACTACTGTCCAGATTAGCCGTTTTTATTCTGTGGTTTCTGCGTCTTCAAAGCCCCGTGTGCATCAAACGCTTTCTGTCGTAGAAACCGCTTCCTCGCCCGTTTTCCCTCGTTCCTGTTTGGATAACTTCGTTTTCCTCTCTGTCCCTTTTTGCACGCTTTCTCTGTTCCTAGTGCAGAACTGAGGGGATGACCAGAACCAGGTAAACTCTCTGAATGCATGTCCTTTCACCTCATCCGTCTCTTCTCACCACCCATTGATCCACTCACCACGGGGGTTATGTGTGTGGGGGGGTGGGGGTTCATCTTCATGTTCACATGTTTGTTAAACCCATTAATGGAAGCGCTGGGAGCACCACATCACTGAGGGTGTGGGACGAATCGTTTTGTGCACACAATGTTTTTTGTTGACCGTCTCGTGGAGTTTTGTGTAACTTTCATAACGAATGTTTGTTTCAGCTCAGTCTTTTAAAGTAACAGCAGCGCTCTTAGCAGGTAGTCACAGAGCTGGATCGGTCGAGGTGTGCAAGCATCTTGTCACCAGCTCAGAAACGTCTTGTAATTTTGGCTGAATTTAAAACCAGAAGGGTTTAAGGGACTGGATAATTCAGCAGGTGTGATCAAATGTTCAATCTCTCCACAGACTGTTCCTCGGTGCAGAAACCGGCCGCCCCTCCTCTGTTTCCTGCTCTTCAAGCTGAAGACGACGGTTGCAGCCGTTCCGTCTGCTCAGCCTCCACTCCAAAAGACAAGCCGTCTTCACATCAGTCTTTTTCCACACCTCTGCACTCACAGTCGCCAATAATCGCCTCCTCACCGGCTGCTCCTTCAATTGTTGTGTACAGTCCGACCAACGGGACCGGAGAGCTCAAACCCCCAAACTTCCCCAAACTGACTGCTGAGAAAATGGAACTGTCCCCACACGCTCAAGGTACCACGACAAGCCACGGAGCTGCAATGGAAACAAACCGTGAAACTTCTGGACCAAAGACGACCGGCCACGGAGCGACGCCCCTCAGTGAAACCACATCCCTTAGAACCCCGACAGTCCCTGCAGCACAGCCACTCCAGACCAGGAGAGCCCTGTTTAACCCGTCAAATTTACCAGTAAGACGAGCAAAAAGTGACGGACATGCTGGGGTCGATGGAGCTCTCGGTCAGTCAGCGGTACCAGAGGTCTGTACGGATGCTACCATGAACGATCGCATTTGGAGGAAACTGGAGCCCGGCAGCCACAGAGACAGCATGTCCTCCTCCTCCAGCATCTCCTCGAACGACACAGTCATTGACCTCTCCCTTCCTAACCTAACTGGGAAGACTCTCTCTGCTCTGCCCAATCCCAGTACCTACCGCGAACCTCCCTGGGTCACCCGCCGGCGCTCTGTGCTGGGCTCCTGCGACACCCTGCGGGTCACCAAGAGCAAGTCAAACCCCAATCTTCAGCAAAACAACTGTTCTGTAGACGAGTTTAAGCCCCGCCCACTGCATCCAGATCAGGAAGGCTCACTGGCTCAGAGGAGGCACACCTGGTGCCGGCTGTACATGGAAGGACTCAAACAGGCTTCACCCAAAAGGCCGTCCACCGCAACTCCGACCTCCGCTACCGGATCTTTAATGTCCAAAAGCCTCGGGGACTTGACCTCTGACGACATCTCCTGCAACTTTGACAGCAAGTACCGCAGCATCAGCCGCAGCTTCATCGTTCGGTCCTCCAGGGACCAGCTCCGTAAGGGCAGCCTGCTTAAGTCCAGACCTCAAAGCGACCTGACAGAGCAGCTGCGTAAGCTGACCGACGTGGAGCCCCTAAACCCCAGTGACTTTGCCCCAGAAAACCAGCCCAAAGACTCCCCAGAGGACAGTCCTGATGAGACCCTGGTGCGACGGACCTCCTCCAGGAGCCAAAGCAGGGTGCGCTACATAGCAAACAGGGCCAGGAAGGCCCAGGAGAGACAGAGGCTGCAGTGTCTTATCCAGGGCCGGAGTGCTAGCTTTAGTCATACTGGTAGCATTGGGAGTAGTCCCATTGAAGAGAGGGGGAACCCTGAGGGGGCATGCTCCGTGGCCCACAGTCCCTGCAGCAGCCTGGACCTTCTGAGTCAGCTAACCCCCCCTGAAGCCCCGCCTGCTCTTCAGCCTCGGTCTGGCCCGGACTCTGAAAACAGTGAACTCTTTTTCGTGCTCCAACTTTAAGAACCAAGAGACGCAGCTAATTTAATTAATTTTTTACTGCAGAACATCCGACAGAACTGTTCCTTTGAGTCTGTAACAGATCCAGGATTCGGTTTGTGACTCCTTGTACAGTTAGACGTCATTAGGTGCCTTGGAACGGCAGAAACTGAATGCACTGACAACAAGGGGGTCCGGATCGGCGCGGACCGTTTAATCAAGTCTGTCCTGCAGGTTTAAGGTTCTGCAGCGGGACAACATCAAGAACTGCCCTAAACCTTCCTGTTGGTTCCTGCTGTGAAGACTCCAAGGACTAGAACGTCTGAATTTATTCTGCGAAGTGAAGCAGGAACATTTCATATGCAGACTGTCATCTTTTACTTTTTATTTGACCATTCTGTAGCAATACATGTTAATTTAACGGGTTTTAACGTTTCTTTTTAAATCCAGCTATAACGACGAACTTTTATTAGATTCTTTGTCGAGGCATTAATTCATCTCAGCAATATTTTGAAGGTGATAGCATGTCCTGATATTAAAGAAAATGTCCTGTTTGATGCCAAATAGCGAGGCTAGTCTTTTGTCTTTACTGGTTTTAAAAGTTTTATTTTATTTCTCATTTGTGTTGTGGTTTTATTTTAAATTGACTGACTTTGTAAAATATGGCATGTCGCAGCGCTGAGATCCTGAAGCAAACCTCAAAACGTCAGAAGTCATTCCATGTCGACTGCATGCCTTTTATGCACTAGTTACTTACATGAGGCTTTGCTTTATTTTACTAAGAGTTTTTATATGAAGATTTTAATATTTTAACTGTAGTTTTGTTTCTATTGTGTCACATGGTGGTCCGCAGGGCGCTGTGTTCGGGTCCCTGTGTTCTCATTTGATCTGTGGTACTGATCCATGACGGGAATGATCTTTGTCGAAGCACGTTTCGTCCACCAGCTGTAACCGTTTGCCGTCCAAGTTCTTTGTTCTGAGGACATCAAGTTTGAGCAAAATATGTAATTATGACCCGAATAAAACTCCGATATTAAATGAACTTTTTTTTTTCATTCATTCGACCTTTATTTCTACAGGTTAGTCTCATTGAGCCTCACAGACTCGTTTACGAGAGACCTGTTTTTTTAAGAGTGATGACAACAGGGGACAATCATAAAAGAAAGCTTATAAATTAAGAAGAATAAATGAAAGAAAATTTAAAATGTTATTAAAAAAATGGGTACATTATAAGGCGATGTAGAAAACTAAAAACAAAAACATGTCTGCATTTATTCTTGGCAGGAACTTATCAGATGTTTGAAGCCACTTGGAGAGGTCAAGGTCGAGAGCTTCAGATCTTTTTACAAGATATTCCAGGAAACCGGAGCGGAGTAGGAGAAGGTCCTTTTGTCTAGTTCAGTCCTCACTGAGGGAACACTGCAGGTAATAATGTCCTGAGAGCGCACGCTGTAGCTGCACTCACACAGAGACATGTAGGAGGAGATGTATGAAGGCAGCAGACCAGGAAGTGATTTAAAGATGAAAATACCAGTGAGAGAGTCTGAAGTTAATGATGACCAGTTAACCAGTGAATACTGGGTGCAGTGGTGGGTACGTTCGTTACAGCCAGTTATGAATCTTAGTGCACCGTGATAGACAGCATCCAACATCTGCAGGTTCTTGTAGGAGCGTTCATGTAAATAATGTCACCGTGATCAATGGAGGGAAGGAAAGTCACAGATACAAGGTGTTTCCTAACATTCAGAGTTAGACAGGATCTGTTTCTGAAAAAGAAACTCAGTTTAACTTTCAGTTTCTTTACCAAGTTTTCCACATGGAGCTTAAAAGAGCTGCAAATCGACCAAGATACCAGAATATTTGTAGGAATTGACAAACTCAATAGGGACACCATTCGAGGTTAAAATCAGGAACTGCTGGGACAGACTTCCTGTTTGGAAAAAAAAAAACATGTCTGGTTTTGTCTGTGTTTAGGACAAGTTTGAGACAGAATAAAACCAACTGGATTATGTAAAAGGCAGATTGCAAAAAGCTAGAAAACATAAGCAACTGTTTTAGGTCGACGATAAACAACTGTCATCAGCAGAGAAGTGTAAGGAAGCATCAGGAATGAGCTGACCTACATTACTTATGTAGATGGGGCGGCTGTGGCTGAGTAGTTAGAGCAGTCGTCCTCCAAGGCAAGAGTCGGGGGTTCGATTCCACCAGCAGTCACATGCCGAAGTGTCCCTTGGCAAGACACTGAACCCCTCATTGCCTCCGATGTGCGTCTCATCAGTGTAAAGCACTGATTATTTGTATAGATCTAGTAGTGATGTATGAATGGGTAAAGGAGGCACAGATTGTTGTAAAGAGCTTTGAGTGTCTTGATAGAAAGGAGCTGTATAAGTGCAGTCCATTTACCGTTTAGATTGTGAAGAGGGTGTGTCCAAACTCTGAGCCTTGTGGTTCACCATTGTTAACCGTTAAATAACTGGAAGAAGTACCATCAAGGTCATAGTTTAAACGATACATTTGTTGATGTGGAGTATTGCTCTAAATGGTAAAGACACTCAAAGCTCTTTACAACAATCTGTGCCTCATTTACCCATTCACACAGCACTATACTAGATCTATACAAAGCTAATTGAACAAATCATTCTAAAGAGACTAATCAGTGTTTTAATCACATTCATACACTGATGGGACACACATCAGAGGCTATGAGGTGTTCAGTGTCTTGCCCAGGGACACTTCAGCGTGTGACTGCTGGTGGAATCGAACCCCCAACTCTCCCATTGGAGAACGACTGCTCTCACCACTCAGCCACACTTGTCCCATAGATTTCTGTGCAAAGTTTGATGGGTTTGGACTGTTCCGTATGTGGTACTTTTTAAAAAGTTATTTAAATTTTACTTTTAATTTTAGGCTGAGTTAGCTCTAAACGACTGGCAAGTTCTTTGTGGACTTAGATTTAAAAGTAAATAAATAAAATCCAGCGCTCGTGTCCATTTTTTCCCTGAAGGAACACTTGTTGGCACCAAGTTGAAGGATAATTTGACAATAATAAACATGTTAGTAATTACCTTTTACCTGATTTCTGATGGCAGCTGATTGTTTTATGAAGCCAGGCTCTGAAATTTAATCTTAAAAAAAAAAAAAAGACACTGTTGGTGTCGCCACCTAGTGGTGCAGCGTGGCTACTTCAACATTTTTGTTAAAACGTGCGAATACACAAAAACAAAAGTCTAAACGGAAGTAAATACCCTGTGAAGTGTAGATGGGGCCCCATAAGAAGCTCTTGGCTCTGAAAGCGACTGAACGGCCCCCGACTGAAGCGTCCGTCCCTTCAGGCCTGACGGAACGTTTGTC